TGCAAATGTTCCATACAGTTCAAACCCTCCAAATGTGTGGGACCAGCATGTCACTCAAATTTATACTGTTCTAGGAAACTCTGATACTTGGAGACATCTCCACACTTTTTAATCTTTCATTTTTCCTTTTCTTTAGATCTAGAAGAGAATTAAATAGAAATAGTCCAAAAGAAGTCAGAAGAGCATAACTCATCTGAACTGCGTAAATTGACTCTATATTTTAACTTTAAGACTAATACCAGAGCACATTACTTGATCTGTTCTGCTTTCATAACTAAATCACTTACTGTAGAATAACTTTTAACTCTAACCAAAAGACAGCAATTAAATCAATAGTCAATACCAGTTTCATCACTTATCAAACTACCTTCTGAATGATGAGACATGTTAATATTCACACCAGTGCTCTGTAAGCAAGAAAACTCTATGGGAATACAAAGCTGTGTGGGTAGCTTGAAAAGACCATGCTCTTCCAGCTTGTTGCAATGATACTTCATTCCTGTATGAGTCCAGCCCATCTCATGCCAACAATAATGTTCCATTTAAGAGTGTATACACCAAAGTCCTCAGGTTCCCAGAGATTTATTTTTCAACTTCCTCTCTTCCCTTCCATTTTTACATTATTTTAGATTTTAGAATTCAAAGCAAGTTTAGATTCACATGTATTTGAACCTTAAAATAATTTAATAATAGCCAGAACTAGTACTGTTAAACTAGGACCTGCCCATACTTAATACGATTAATAATTACTGTATAAATTTAAACTCATCCACTTCATGGCTTCAATATAAATCTAAATATTCTTTCCTCAAATACATTCTTGACTGAAAAACTTGTATCATTATTCTTCTTCTGGTGGTGTTATCGTCAAGGGATGATAAAACTCGATGCCCAAGTATAGACAGACATAGGTAATATGGGAAATATGATGGAAGTAAGAGTAAAAATGACTGATTGTATTAGCTACATTAGCATGGTAAAGTCCTTATGCAGACTGTTCAGGAAAAGTTAAGGATACTGTTTTAAGAAAGACTGTAAGATAGCCAAATATTAAAACAGTCCATATTACTCAATGGGAGTTAAGTCAGCATGGAAGAGATATAATTATCAAAAAGCAAATACCAAAGTAAAGATGCCAAGTCCCACAATGACTTCTTAAGGTCAGTACCCATCAGTTCAGATAAACCAACAATGAGTTTTCATACACAGCTGTGTGCTTACTTTGAAAATACAGAGTAACAAATCACTAAAACAATGCAAAGTGCATTTTCAAAGGTAAGGAATCTTGATGAACTTTAAGGAGTATGTGATAGTGCTATTATACAAACTGTATGGATGCTACTTTTCCCAAGAAATAGATTAAGTCTTCTTATATGAATTCTTCCCAAACCTAAAAGTAGGAGCTTAACTTAGCTTTATTTCTGTTCACTAAATTTAGAGTTTATCCTTTTTTTTCTAGGGCACACATCAAAATTTATTTTCCTTTTTTATATATGAAAAACCTGTTAGATACAGATTAAATAACTGGTATTTTAGGTATTTCATTATTACCAACTTTTGTGCTTTTTTGTTTGTCTAGGTGGTACATAGCCTTGAATCCAGGGCCCTGGAACATGCCCAGAAAGTGCTCTACCCAAAGCTATACTCTCAAAATGTCTACTTTTTGATGCAGGCACACTAAGTTGCCCATGCTAGTCTTGAACCACAATCTTCCTGACTCAACCTTCTCAGTGCTGGGATTAGAGGTCTGTGCCACCATGCTTGGCCTATACCTCTCTCTCCTTCTTTCTCTCTTTATCACATGTATGTCTGTGTCAGCATGAATGTCAATGCAAGTGCTCAAAGGCCAGAAGAAAGCATGGATCCTTTGGCGCTGGAGTTACAGTTGTGAGTCACCCAACATGGGTGCTAAGAACAGAACTTGAGTCCTCGAGAAAAGCAACAAGCACTATTAACTGCTGAGCCATCTCTCCAGCGCCTCTTGTATCTCTCTCTAAATGGAAATATAACAACATATAAGCTAATTCCACAATAGATATTCAGATGAGAAAAGGGAAAGTACTCAAGATTTGCAGCCTGCTCTACTCTGCCTATCTCATTCATTCATTCATTCATTCATTCATTCATATCAAAAATGACTCAATACTTTGCCAACTAAACAGAATACATCTGAATGATAAATCATTTAATATGAAATATGTGAGAGACGGTTGTTATCAATATATTTTAAACGATTATTGTAGCTTTCATGATGTCAAAGTTTCTCAAATATCAAAATTATCCTGTACTTTTACTTGATATTAAAGCAAAACTTTGAAGAATTTGTAGAGAATGGTCTTTTACAAGTGGGATGACATAAAGAAGAGTTAATAATTGTCTTGTTTAAGATATAAAACCTGCTAAAACAGTAAGTCTCATACAATTTTTGTGCCACATATAAAATTAAGTAAATATCAGCACTTTAATTCTATAGTAAACCACTTGGTACTAAATTTAAGGCTAACCCAACTCTAACTGGTTCCTGATATTACTAACAGAGAGAAAAAAAAAATCAATCTTAAAATTATTTGAATTACCCAAAACAAATATATATGTACATATGTATGTATATTCTATATGTATCTATAATCCCAAATGCTTTATTAAGGAGCCATCTGAAGTAGAGTATTCAAATATTTATATAAATGAGTTGAAAGAAATTAAAAGTCATGGGACTGGAGAGATGGCTCAGTGGTTAAAAGCACTGGCTGCTTTTGCAGAGGATCTATGATCAATGCCCAAGACTCACATGACAGCTAACAACCATAAGTTTCAGGGGATCTGACAACCTTTTCTTTTTTTCTTATTTATTATTTTATGTGCATAACTGTATTGCTTACATGCATGTAAGTGTACCATGTTGTGCAATGCCCACAGAGGTAAGAAGAGGGCATTGGATTTCCCTGGAACTGGAGTTACAGACGGTTGTTAGCCACCTTGTGGGTGCTGAGAATCAAACCTGGGCCCTCTGTAAGAGCAGTCAGTGCTCTCAACCGCTGAGCCATCTCTTTAGTCCCTGATGCCCTCTCCTGACCTCTGTGGGCACTGTAAGATGTGGGTGCACTTACAGACATGCAGGTAAAACACTTATACATCAAAACCTACTGAGCAAGAATTTCTTTGTGAGAAGCTATAACCCTTGACTTATTTTCTGAAATTAATGCTCTAAAAATACAGGACATGGGAAGCACATTTAAGTGTGGTCTTAACAAGTATTTCTTTTTAACAATCTTTTTAATTTAATACTGAATCATAAATTTAACGGCCACTGAATCAGAAGAGACTTCACTACCAGAAGTAAATTCTTCCAGTATCAAGACCATAGCTGTGTTACTATCTCTGAAAGACACTGAGAAGAAATCAACGATGTGCATCTTCAAAACGGGAAGCTGGTCGATGGCAGCTCCATTGGCTGAGAAGCCAAAGAGAACATATGAATTTGAACTAACTTGTTACTCCCCAAACCAGTAACTTAAAAACAACAATAAAGATTAGCATTATAAGAAAAGCATTCTTTCTTTCTATATTCATCTCATAAAGATCCAATTATGTCCCTTCACAGTAAAAAGATCTCAGCTGATTTAGAACCAAGAACCAATTTCTGCATAAAGTGGCCCATTCTGTTGCCTGGTCTAAATGCAGGGTTTTTCGGCAGGGAACATCTCCCCACTGTCACCATTCCATCTTCCTTCAAATATGGAGTATCTGGAGACTATTTTCTAATCAGCTCTGCTCTGAAGGAGCTACTGTCTAGTTCTCAGGTGCTTCCCAAGTTTTAAGAACACTATCTACCTGCTGAGATTATCAAGCTCCTTAAAAAAAAAAATGTAGCTGGGAGCAAGAAACAAACTGTGTCCCTCAACCTCAAACTGAAGGTCCAGTTCCGAACTGTCCTAAAGCAAAATCCAGGACTGAGGCTATTAAGCCAGGTGACAAAGAAGTGTGCTGAGTTCTAAGGCTAGATGTTGAAAGGTAAGCCAGGGCTGGTCTCAAGTCATATACCATGACCACACAGGACTTCTCCATCTGTGATTGCCAATTCAGGAAGTTGATTTCCTGAAAATCACATCTACACAAGCAAATCTACAAGGTACCAACTATGGTTTCAATGGAGCTATCATGAGAGAAAAATGGCAAACTGTGTGGCAAATAGTCTTTGAGTAGCTAAACCTAGACCCTTCCCCAAAATGAGTTTCAGGAAGGAGGAACAAAGCAGCAAGGTGCCAGGACAGAGGCTCTCAAATGCCCTTTTCAGCGACTGAGAACAGGAGGAGGACATCTGTCAAGAAGGCAGAGCATGGGCCAGCTAGTCAGGAGGAGCCCATTCCCCATCTCTGCTCCTCCAGGGCTTGGTGACCTTGGCAAGCTATTTCCCTTCTCCTAGCCACATGGTGACTTCACACCAGCCTTTTCCCACACAACTGTGTAAAGGGTATGCAAGGTGTTTATACTGACTAGCTGCCACAGATGGCCAGAGCAAGGTGAGAAGGGGTTCTGAGAGGACTGAACTTCTAGTACCACAGCCAGTTATAACCTGCCTTGAGGTTCTGCTCTTTAGGAGCTTAGGTGTGATTTAGGTTTTCAGTGGGACAGTGAAGAATGGACATATTGGTGGATGTGTACACTTGAAAATAAAATGCTAACCGTTAATAATACACTCCAGTTTGAAAACTCACCTTTGGAAAACGACAAGAAAACAGACACATCGAAGTTTTTATCCAAAATTTTGGAAGGTGATTATGTGAATTCATTGCCTCTCCAGTTCCCTCAATAAGGGGTACTGATACTCTCTATTCGCCTCTCACTCTACAGTAACTCTGAAAAGCCTGAAAGCTAAAACCCCATGTACTCAAGAGGTGACTATACTAATTAATGCTTATGCCACATGTAGAACAGTCATTGACTGACTCACATAGAGCTAGATCACAGCACTGCAGCTCAAAGTTCTACATTTTCCATACCATTTCTGTAAGTAGTCCAGTGCTTCCAAACGAGCACCAATCTCAAAAGTGATTCCAGGACGATTTGGGGGCTTTTTACTCATCTTGAGTTCCTATTCTTCAGTATTTTCTTTTCAATACCTCAAGAGGAAAAGAAAAAGTTAGACTGTGATACGTGAAATGCGTTAAGGACTATGGTTCAAAGGACAGGCAAAATTCAAATGACTTTTAAAATAATACATGCTAAGTTAAAATATTTGACAATTTTTTGACTGACCAATTACCAATATCTGTGGGTAACATGCAGCATGAAGGCAATCTTGATACAGCATTAAGGAAAGGAGTACAGAAAAAGATAACTGGAAAGATGAGTCACTAAAACGTAGGAATGGCTAAAAGCCTTAAGTTTTAACTTGGAAATTGCCTAAGGAAGTTCTACCCAGGGAAACTGGAAGCACTGTAACTTTTAAAAATTAAGACAACCCAGTGTCTTGTACTATTCTTAAAGAGAACAAATTAATCACGTTTTTCATTTAATTTCAAGAAATCTTCCAGTGTTTCAATCCTTTAAAAAACAACACTAAGAACACAGAGGAAATGTAGGCACACCACCGAGGACACTCTAACCATTCTTCCTGTGAGATTAGCATGTTTCCTTACTATGATTCTCCTCTGCGCAGCATATCATCTGATATTTTCAACATATATAGTTACAAAAAACATTTCTTATGTTTTACATGCCCGAGATTTTAACTTAGAATTATTCCTACCATAATTCAATAGAGTATCCTCAGTGACAATAAAAATAACTCTAAAAAAAAATTGTGAAGGGGAACCTGCGTCTCTCTAGATCATTCACATGCTGAGCATTTACTGTTCTGACCACACTGGCACCTAGTATACTGGAGGCCTCTTTTTCAGCACTGAGTATTGAGGAATAGAATGCATTTTCAATGTATAAAAACTGGAATGGAAATAAAATTGGAATGCATGTTCTCATTAAAATACAACTGCTAATCATGAATATAAAGCTGCTATTGTTGAAGGAAAATCCTTAAAACATGTTTGTGTATTAAAGGTTATTTAATTAACTATGCTCCCTCCAACTTTAAAAAAAAAAAAAAACTCACAAAACTGTAACGTTTTATAATGGTTTGGTCACAATTTAAAATAACAAACAAAATTCCAAATGCTCATTCCTCTCTCTCTTAGAATCTAAGGGAAGAAATAGCCTCAACACTTGCTCTGATAATGGGAGATCAACTTTAAGAGCTCTTGGCAGAGGGTGAGTAGGAAAACATCCTGGCATGGCATCAGCAAGTGTTACTGTATTCAAAAGCTAAGAATCGTGGTCAGGGTACACTGGGTGTAACGGGAACATACATATTTTTAATAGAAATCTTGTCAGTGTGCAACACTGGGTTGCTGAAATATGTAGAAATCGGATCCGAATTTCTGCTGCTGTTCACAAGAAGAGTCACTAAGAGGCAGCTCACCAGTTAAACTAACATTTTCTAAGATCAAACTTCCAGCCTGTAAGTCTGGTGACACTTAGGCACCAAGGAGTGAAAAGGCATTATTTCCTTTCTCTTGGAGTGGAGAGGGAAGAATGAGGAGAGATTTGAATTAAGAACTTTGACAAAAGAACTACTGGGGGGGAGTAAAAAAAAAAAAAAACAACTTGAATTACAGGAGGGAAGGACGCAGAGGAAACAAAAAGGAGTGGAAACGGAAAGAAGAGCTGCGAAAAGATCGCGAGCAACACAAGGCTGGTGGAAGTTACTGGAGATGACAGCGAGGGGAGAGAAAAGGAGAAGACGAGCAAGGGAATGCCAAGGGACTACCGCCAGACCGCGCGGAGCTGAGGGACCAGGCTGCCGGGAGGGGCGGCGAGAGCAGCCAGGAAAGGCCGCGGGCGGCTGGCCCGGAGCCCGGGAGCTGCAGGTTGACAGCCCGGCCCGCAGGGGAAGGAAGGCGGGGAGCGCGGCGTGCAGACAATAGGGCCGGCGAGTGGCGGGGAGCGGGGCGCGGGGAGCGGCCGACAGCGCGGGCCCGAGACCCCGCGGCCACTAGGCCCGCCGCCGCCTCTTACCGACTCGGCCTCGTCTCCGCACAGCAGCCGGGCCGTCCGGGGCCGAGCCGGGGCGCGTCAGGGCGGCCAGCGCGGGCCTCCGCCTCGGCGTCCGCGCGGGCAGCGGCCGGGGATTGAGCAGAAGCCGAGCGAGCCGGGCCCGCGGCGCCGCTTCGGCCGGAGGAGGCGCAGGAGGGAGCGGGGTCCGACCCTTAAGCCCGGACGGGGGCCGCTACCATCCCTGTCACCACAGCCGCCACCGCCGCCGCTGCCTCCCGCCAGCCCTGACGCGACGCCGGCCTGCGACGTCAGCTGCCCGCGACGCGCCGGAAGCGGGCTGGACCGCGCCTAGTGATGCGCGAGGGCTGGGCTCGCGCCGAACCGCTCATTGGAGGACTGCGCTGGGGGCGGGGCTTCGCGGACCTCCTGGGGAACCGCCGTAGGAAGGCAGCGTCGCCGGCTCTGAGCTGCTATTGGTTCGCTGAAGAGCCTGACTTTCGGGGTGAGAGCTTGAAGGCCACCAATTGTGACTGTTGATTTCTCACAAATTCTGCTCCCTGGGACGAACTTTTATAAATCCACTGTACACTTTCCTGGGTATCCATTCCATCCTACATTAAAAACAGAGACAATGTCCCTACTACAAAGTTCAGAAAAGTGTCTATTGACTAAACATACCACATTGTTGCAGTTGGCATCTTGGGGAAAGGTTGGTTTTGTTTTCTCAGCCAATTAGAGAAAACGCACGAAAAATCTACGTCAGCAGAGAGCAACAGGCAAATAAACTTTTATTGAAAGGTAAAGAATCACACACACACACACACACACACATCCACACACACACACACACACCATCATACAGAAAGATCAACCTTTCCAAGGGGAACCTAGAAACTGAGAATCCAACGTTTTCCAGGGAAGACCTGCGTTTCAAGATTTGTGTGGTTTCCCCCTCTGTATTATTGAGTTGGTCAGTTTAAACAAAGAGAAGGCTGATAAGTCCCAGCTCCATCCAGGGATACGTGACTCTAAACAGTTCAGTTGAAGGCATCTTCGTTGGAGTTAAAAATAAGGCGTTCCTGTCAGAGATCAAGAAAAAGACCCAAGGATGTCATCTTTATTATTTCTCAGTGACCCTATTTGCTTACTAAGGATTTAGTCCCTTACAACATGACAACCACAACCACACAATTATACTGCTTTCCAATCTAGTAGATCTTTGGAAAACAAAATATTACTGGGAGCGGGGTCCCAATAGCTACTGTGACATTCCGTCCACAAATCTACACAACTCATGTTTTCACCCAGTGCTCGCCATGCCCCAACGTCTGTATAAGCACAAGAGGCCAAGTCCCAGCTTTGAAAACTTACAAGTGATCACATTCAAAGCACTATGAGACAAAACATCTATTTTGTCACTGTCCACTGTATCACTCTGGCTCTCATATTTTTAAAGAGCATGATTTCGTACAAACAACACATCTTTATCTTGCTTCATTGTGTGCAGTGAAAATAGCAAAATAATTTTAATGATAGTGACATTTGGTAAATTAAGCAAATGTTCATATTCATCGTTTTATTCAAAAGACATGCATTCAAAGACATACTCTGCTTCAAATAACCACTAGGTTACCAGGAGCCTGGTAATTCTACAAGCGATATAAATAAGATGGTCTCTAGGGTATATTTGTATTCTGGTCTTTTGGTAGCTCAGCATCTGTGCTCTTTTCCATATTTGAGCAATTTCTCCATGATTATCATTAGTCTGGTGCACCAAATATTTCTAGAATCTTCCTTTGGTCACAGGCAGAATTATATTTTCCACTTTCCTTAGTATTATGTGTGGTCATTTAATTTGCTAGAAATGAAAATAAGAGTGAAATTTATTATACTGTGTTGGTAATGTAAGAACCCAGTTCAACAAATTCTCTGTACCTGGCACTACAAGTGGAATATTTGAGATGAGAGCTTCTCTAGAAACATAGGTTCTGAATAGATTAGAATGAGCTCAGGAATCACAGGCATCTACTACCAGTATGCAGTTTAAAGATAAAAACTTAGCTAAAGAATAAAATATATAATTTACATATTAAAGAGACACACGCACACACACACACAAACACACACACACACACACACACACACACACACCAGGGTCATGTAACATAGCCTAACATTCCAAAACTGACTCATCCACTTCTTTAGGACTATTGGAGACACAGTTAACTTCTCACTAGATAAGATTCAAATATCAGAATCAAATGTTCTATGCCTCCCTTTATGGCTAAATTGCCAGGTTCAGAAATGCTCATTAAACCATATCACTTAAGATTTTGTATGAAAAATGCTGGTAATGTTCAAAAGAAGGAAAAATTTTCCAGCATCAGTGGCACTACCACTAATCAGGTTTCTGACATTCAGCCTACAGCTAAAACTTATTGAAACCTGGTAGAAACCTCATTGATCTGGAAGCAAATATATACATAATGTAACATTATATACGTATATATAATGTAATATATAATAAATTGAAATTTCATATCCATATGAAATTTTGAGTGTTTGCAATTGATGTAATATATGTATATACATATATGTATATATATATAAATATAAAGGATAACACACATTCTATCTACTCTCTATTAGATGTATGTACCAAACCATTCTTCTATTTCAAATGGAACTTAAACATAGAGTCCCTTCAATAATCCAACCTAGAATTAAAATGGGAATGATCGCTCACCTACACTCAGGTAAGTAACTCTTAGTAAACACTGTGGGCCACACACTAAGGAGTACTTGAGAAAAGGCGTTTCAATGGGAGGGGGGATAACAGAGTAAAGATAACTAAAATTAATTATATAAAGTCTGAAATGGTCAAAAATAGAAAAAGCATTTTTTAATAGGAATGAGAGCATAAGTAGTGACTTGAGCAGCTTATAGTTCTAATATAGTGAATATCTGCCTTCAGTGTGCATGTTGGTGATGGGAGTGTCATATTTTAGTTGTCATATGATTGTAGTGGGAAACTTCTACTATTTAGTGAGGAGATACCGTGTCTGTTAGACATAATGAAACACACGATGCAGCTCTTTACCTTGAAGAATTACCTCAAGTCCTACATAACTTTTGGATGTCCATTCACATATTCATATAAATGAAAGAGACTATCTAAAATTGTGGGCACCTAAAACTGAATCTCACGGGTAAACAAAGTATTTTTGCAAGATTTTAACGGACATTCAGTTTTCCAATAATGAAACCACGATGTAATAAAAGGAAGAGTGTGTTTGTTTTTAATGTTACACAGAAGCAATGCAAAGATTCCCTTTGTATTCATATGTGTTTGTAGCTGTTACAGACAGAGTGAATCTAAATTGAGATGCAAACATTTGACTGCATCATTCTGTCTTTTTGTCAGTCATGGCTGAACAGGAAATATTTGATGGAAATATTTGATTATGCATTGTTTCTGTAACATTTGAGCTCTTTATTACCATTGTGTCTCATTGTAATTTTGAAAATGTGTACATGCACTTTATTATGTGTGATTTAATTTCAGGAAAGTGGACTGAGTGATACATAATTTCAAACTAACAAATCAAACTATCATACATACATAGTTTCAAACTAACAAAACTTCCAGCAGGACTGAGGCCATGGCCCAGAGGTTGAAGCACTTGCCACTTAAGTGTGAGGATTGGAGTTCAGAATCCACATAAATCCCGAGTGATGCCATTTGCCTGTAATTCTATCACTCAGAAGGCAGATACAGGTGAATCCCTGGAAAAAAATTGGTTTGCCAGACTAGCCATATCATCAGGCTCTAAGTTCAAGCGAGAAAACTGGCTTCAATAAACAATGTGGATAATTATCAAGAAAGATTCCTACCATCAACCTTGGGCCTACACACACACTACACACACATACATATGAGAGAAAAAACAACTTCATGTATACAGTCATTTCCTCATTGGTCATATGGATTGAGTTCAAGATCAGGGCAGAAACACAGGGTAGAGAAGAATCTAAAGATGTCTCCCCAGTCATGTAGCTGAGCCATGTACTGTTACATCCTCTCTCCTCTCTCCTCTCTCCCACCCAACCCACCCTCTTCCAGATGGCTGATGCCAGCCATCAGTCATTCCATCTCCAAATTTAGAAAGGCCTTACAGCTGTGTTTGAGCAAAACCAAGCAAGCAGCGGGCAAATTATCTCGAAACAACAGTTGTGAGGCAGAAATCACTGATCTAAATTCCTCCAACACTAGAAATGAGTGTAAAACCATAAACTTTCTGAATATTTAACAACTGCATATGCATCTAAGGAAGGGGAAGGCCACTATTAAATACCTGCTACCCTCAGTTATATAGAAAACACAAGATGGGTATTTTGTGTGTTTATTTAATATTTGTAATATTAGCATTAGTAAAGACAAGACAAAATGATTCAAGTGTTTTATTAATAGACTAGTTTAATAATTGGCTGTTGCTACAACATTCAGCTCTGGCAAATCTCCCCATTCTAGGTATTTGAAAATTGCATTAATTTCACTTTTTAACCTGAATAAAAGATCGTTTGTTTTATTTCTGTCACCATAATCAGTTAGCAACTAACTAGAAGCAATAGTTGTTCCAGAATGTATCATTGACAGACAGACTTCCAGACTAGGAACAAACTGACAGGCATCATCTCTCCAGATGTTATTTGAGCTTTCTGCTCATATATCTAATGTATCCCTCCACTGTTATTGACTGTTAGTTTATAGTAGGCCAGCCCTAAGGATGATGGGTTATATTAGAGAACTTTATAATATATGTATACGTGTATATATAATTTTGAGTACATATTTACTAATGTTCATGTGCTACTCAGAAGCCACCCAAGTTTCTGAAATTTTAAAGTTGTTCAGATTCATCAAGAATAATTTTAAGATATCAAAATCTCTACTATGAAAAGTAATTATATACATTAATATATATGTTAATATATTCCACAGAGAGGCAAAGAATTCCTTCTGTGTACAGATTGTTCTGAAGCAAAAGAATGACTATAAAATCTATCATCCAACCCCAGACACTTCTGAGCATGTAAGGAAATGTTATTATTAATTATACTAGAACAACAGGTGGATCCTAGGGAATATCAGACAGAGATAGGTGATCGTAAAAAGCAAGGGCAAGTGCTAATAAGAAATAAGGTGAAAGCTCCTTAATCAGAACAACATTGAACTTGGAAATCACTCTTGATTCCTCAAAGCATGTTCCCCTTTGTAGTACAAAGACTGAGGATGAGTTCTTTATTGCTGTGATGA